AACATAATTCTGGGTGCCATTTAAAAACCATAAGTGCTAATGACTCCATTCCTTTTTGTGGTTGTAGGGGCTGTTGATTGGAGTATACTAAAACAAACCTGATCTCTCTAGGACATTCAGAAGCCAAGTTATAAGCCCACAAATTTGTAACTGGACTACTTCTTTAAATTGACACCAGATCCAGTGACATTTGGGACATGGTTTGACCCCCTTAGGAAAGTGCTATCAGCATGAAACGTTCAGATCACTTACAACTCAATAGATTCTACCTTCCTGTAACGTTTCAGCCTGATTGGACCTTGTTTTCACACAAATGAACCCAGAATGATGTGAAATTGTGCTTCGTGCAACATAATTCTGGGTGCCATTTACAAACCATAAGTGCTAATGACTCCATTCCTTTTTGTGGTTGTAGGGGCTTTTGATTGGAGTACACTAAAACAAACCTGATCTCTCTAGGACATTCAGAAGCCAAGTTATAAGCCCACAAATGTGTAACTGGACTACTTCTTTAAATTGACACCAGATCCGGTGACCTTTGGGACATGGTTTGACCCCCTTAGGAAAGTGCTATCATCATGAAACGTTCAGATCACTTACAACTCAATAGATTCTACCTTCCTGTAACGTTTCAGCCTGATTGGACCTTGTTTTCGCACAAATGAACCCAGAATGATGTGAAATTGTGCTTCGTGCAACATAATTCTGGGTGCCATTTAAAAAGCATAAGTGCTAATGACTCCATTCCTTTTTGTGGTTGTAGGGGCTGTTGATTGGAGTATACTAAAACAAACCTGATCTCTCTAGGACATTCAGAAGCCAAGTTATAAGCCCACAAATGTGTAACTGGACTACTTCTTTAAATTGACACCAGATCCGGTGACCTTTGGGACATGGTTTGACCTCCTTAGGAAAGTGCTATCATCATGAAACGTTCAGATCACTTACAACTCAATAGATTCTACCTTCCTGTAACGTTTCAGCCTGATTGGACCTTGTTTTCACACAAATGGACCCAGAATGATGTGAAATTGTGCTTCGTGCAACATAATTCTGGGTGCCATTTACAAACAATAAGTGCTAATGTCTCCATTCCTTTTTGTGGTTGTAGGGGCTTTTGATTGGAGTACACTAAAACAAACCTGATCTCTCTAGGACATTCAGAAGCCAAGTTATAAGCCCACAAATGTGTAACTGGACTACTTCTTTAAATTGACACCAGATCCGGTGACCTTTGGGACATGGTTTGACCCCCTTAGGAAAGTGCTATCATCATGAAACGTTCAGATAACTTACAACTCAATAGATTCTACCTTCCTGTAACGTTTCAGCCTGATTGGATCTTGTTTTCACACAAATGAACCCAGAATGATATGAAATTGTGCTTCGTGCAACATAATTCTGGGTGCCATTTAAAAACCATAAGTGCTAATGACTCCATTCCTTTTTGTGGTTGTAGGGGCTGTTGATTGGAGTATACTAAAACAAACCTGATCTCTCTAGGACATTCAGAAGCCAAGTTATAAGCCCACAAATGTGTAACTGGACTACTTCTTTAAATTGACACCAGATCCGGTGACCTTTGGGACATGGTTTGACCCCCTTACGAAAGTGCTATCATCATGAAACGTTCAGATCAATTACAACTCAATAGATTCTACCTTCCTGTAACGTTTCAGCCTGATTGGACCTTGTTTTCACACAAATGGACCCAGAATGATGTGAAATTGTGCTACGTGCAACATAATTCTGGGTGCCATTTACAAACCATAAGTGCTAATGACTCCATTCCTTTTTGTGGTTGTAGGGGCTTTTGATTGGAGTACACTAAAACAAACCTGATCTCTCTAGGACATTCAGAAGCCAAGTTATAAGCCCACAAATGTGTAACTGGACTACTTCTTTAAATTGACACCAGATCCGGTGACCTTTGGGACATGGTTTGACCCCCTTAGGAAAGTGCTATCATCATGAAACGTTCAGATCACTTACAACTCAATAGATTCTACCTTCCTGTAACGTTTCAGCCTGATTGGACCTTGTTTTCACACAAATGAACCCAGAATGATGTGAAATTGTGCTTCGTGCAACATAATTCTGGGTGCCATTTAAAAACCATAAGTGCTAATGACTCCATTCCTTTTTGTGGTTGTAGGGGCTTTTGATTGGAGTACACTAAAACAAACCTGATCTCTCTAGGACATTCAGAAGCCAAGTTATAAGCCCACAAATGTGTAACTGGACTACTTCTTTAAATTGACACCAGATCCGGTGACCTTTGGGACATGGTTTGACCCCCTTAGGAAAGTGCTATCATCATGAAACGTTCAGATCGCTTACAACTCAATAGATTCTACCTTCCTGTAACGTTTCAGCCTGATTGGACCTTGTTTTCACACAAATGAACCCAGAATTATGTGAAATTGTGCTTCGTGCAACATAATTCTGGGTGCCATTTAAAAAGCATAAGTGCTAATGACTCCATTCCTTTTTGTGGTTGTAGGGGCTGTTGATTGGAATACACTAAAACAAACCTGACCTCTCTAGGACATTCAGAAGCCAAGTTATAAGCCCACAAAGGTGTAACTGGACTACTTCTTTAAAGTGACACCAGGCCCGGTGACCTTTGGGACATGGTTTGACCCCCTATAGGAATGTGCGATCATCATGAAACGTTCAGATCACTTACAACTCAATAGATTCTACCTTCTTGTAGCGTTTCAGCCTGATTGGACCTTGTTTTCACACAAATGGACCCAGAATGATGTGAAATTGTGCTTCGTGCAACATAATTCTGGGTGCCATTTACAAACAATAAGTGCTAATGACTCCATTCCTTTTTGTGGTTGTAGGGGCTTTTGATTGGAGAACACTAAAACAAACCTGATCTCTCTAGGACATTCAGAAGCCAAGTTATAAGCCCACAAATGTGTAACTGGACTACTACTTTAAATTGACACCAGATCCGGTGACCTTTGGGACATGGTTTGACCCCCTTAGGAATGTGTGATCATCATGAAACGTTCAGATCACTTACAACTCAATAGATTCTACCTTCTTGTAACGTTTTAGCCTGATTGGACCTTGTTTTCACACAAATGAACCCAGAATGATGTGAAATTGTGCTTCGTGCAACATAATTCTGGGTGCCATTTACAAACCATAAGTGCTAATGACTCCATTCCTTTTTGTGGTTGTAGGGGCTGTTGATTGGAGTACACTAAAACAAACCTAACCTCTCTAGGACATTCAGAAGCCAAGTTATAAGCCCACAAAGATGTAACTGGACTACTTCTTTAAAGTGACACCATTCCTGGTGACCTTTGGGACATGGTTTTACCCCCTATAGGAATGTGCGATCATCTTGAAACGTTCAGATCACTTACAACTCAATAGATTCTACCTTCTTGTAGCGTTTCAGCCTGATTGGACCTTGTTTTCACACAAATGGACCCAGAATGAAGTGAAATTGTGCTTCGTGCAACATAATTCTGGGTGCCATTTACAAACCACAAGTGCTAATGACTCCATTCCTTTTTGTGGTTGTAGGGGCTGTTGATTGTAGTACATTAAAACAAACCTGATCTCTCTAGGACATTCAGAAGCCAAGTTATAAGCCCAGAAATGTGTAACTGGACAACTTCTTTAAATTGACACCAGATCCGGTGACCTTTGGGACATGGTTTGAACCCCTTACGAAAGTGCTATCATCATGAAACGTTCAGATCACTTACAACTCAATAGATTCTACCTTCTTGTAACGTTTCAGCCTGATTGGACCTTGTTTTCACACAAATGAACCCAGAATGATATGAAATTGTGCTTCATGCAACATAATTCTGGGTGCCATTTAAAAACCATAAGTACTAATGGTACCACTTTACAATAAGGCTCCCTTATAAATGGCTAATAAATGGTTTATAAATGTCTTATTAATCAATCTATAATGCCTTATATATGACTAATAAACATTTATTATGCATTAATTAAGGGTGAAAAAGACACTAAACTTACTAGTTTCTTGCCAAATAGTGAACCAAATCTGTTGACTTATGTACTTTATCTAGACTTCATATATTAAACATTTCAAACTAAGAAACTACCTTTTAAGCACTATTAGCATTTGTAAACAAGGTTTTGGGCAACTAATAATGTACCTTATAACTGCATTATAAATACAATGATTAAAGGGAGGCTTATTGTAAAGTGTAAAATATGTCTTTATTCATTAATAGTTAATAAACATTTATACATACAAACTGGAGCCTTATTGTAAAGTGTAAAACATGTCTTTATTTATTAATGATTAATAAACATTTATAAATACAAACTGGAGCCTTGTTGTAAAGTGTAAAACATGTCTTTATTTATTAATGATTAATAAACATTTATAAATACAAACTGGAGCCTTATTGTAAAGTGTAAAATATGTCTTTATTTATTAATAGTTAATAAACATTTATAATTACAAAAGGGAGCCTTATTGTAAAGTATAAAACATGTCTTTATTTATTAATGATTAATAAACATTTATAAATACAAACTGGAGCCTTATTGTAAAGTGTAAAATATGTCTTTATTTATTAATAGTTAATAAACATTTATAATTACAAAAGTGAGCCTTATTGTAAAGTATAAAACATATCAGTGTTTATTAATGACTCTTAAACATTTTTAAATGTAAAATGAAACTTTTTTAGTATGAAACTAGTTAACAATTATTTATAACCAGTAAACTTTTTGAAGACTAGGGGCCTTACTATGAAAAGTATAACAAGCTGCCTTATAACATTAGACAATACTCTATCTTAACATGTGCAGTTGTTTTGGTTACACTTAGGACAGACAAAACCTTCTAAACAAAAATGACAAGAAAAATCTTTGTTGTGTGGAAACTGAACACATAACTGAACAGATCGTTAAAAAATTACCAGTTTCACACACATCTGTTCTATAGCTAAATATGCTGAAACAGAACAAGTCAGATAACTGGGTAGGCTTTCAGACAGACTTGCCTCTTCGAATTGGAAGCAAAGATCCATCAGCCTTCATGCTTTCTATTTTGTTTTTCACTTCATCATTGCTTTGAATCTCTTCCTCACATCGCTTAGCAAAATGGAGTACCGTCTCTCCACTGGGCTTGTTGGAGATCAGCTCCTGGTAAACAAGAGGAGCTGCGATAGCGAGCTCAGCAACTGATGCCGTGGACACAACTGTGTTTCTGTCAATCCCATGCTTCTGAAAAGCTTTGGACAAGGTCTTCATCTTTGGAAATGTCTTGAGGAGGGACTTGTATCTCTGCACAATCTCACTTGGTGTTCGGACTGAGAATCAAATTAAAACAAAGAAAACTGTTAGAAACAAATGCTCATGGCACACAATACAATCTGTTACTATAATTTACACACACACATGCATATACGTGTGTGTGTGTGTGTGTGTGTGTGTATGCCTTTCTAAAAATGCGCATCAGTCCAAACCTTATATTCAAGTTTGGTGTCAAATACAATGTAGTTTGAAGAAAATGTTTAAATGGTAATTTTATCTCCAAAGAACATATCTTCTAGCCTGGCCTGCCAGACTAGACTTCTGCACACAGAGTCGGGTAACTCATAGGCAGAGAGGCACATGAGGGGCGGGATTAGCCAGCTCAAAAATGACCAATCAAAAAAAAAAAAAAAGTGGAAATGCCAACTGTACCATGTGACGCAGTAGTTTTTTTAGCTGTAGTAAAAAATGGAGCCTGGTAATGGCGCAAACATCTTTCTTTAGAAGAAAGATTTTTAGCGGTTCTTGTTGTGGTTTCAAAGACATGTCCAAGTCATTTACAACAGAGGAAAGAGCCGCGGTGAACTCCGCTTCAGACATAATTGTTTATGAGAATTTGAGCTTCACTGTGTGTGTGACGAACGCTGCTCAGTGATGATTGGTTTGGTTAGCATTTTCATTTGGGTGGGGTTATTTACATAGGAGAGTTACCAGACTCTTTCTCTGTGCAGAATTCAACAGAGGAGGAGTCTGGCAGGCCAGGCTACATATCTTCTGAATATAAGTATTTTGCTCACCACGCTGCCGGAACTTCTTTTCCTCCTTCTTGTATTTCTTGGCTTTTGAATGCTTGTTTTTGAATTTGCGCTTTTGCTTCTTTGGGGGTGAAGATGAGGATGAGGATGACCACTCAGATGATGCAGATGAAGATGTGGAAGATGAATCCAAGTTTTCAGAAGGATTGTTGATAAACGTATCATTTAATGGTTCGTCTTTAGGTTGCGCTGCAGAAAAAAATGGATGAATTTAGAATTTTTTTTAACACATATCAGGTAACACAGAGTGAAACAAACATGCAAAGTAGCTGCCAATTTCATTTCATTACACAATGGATGATTTTGTCAGCTTATGTGCTTTGACAGAATGAGAATGATGCACCCTTCTGAGTGAAATAATATACATGTGGCTGGGCAAATCTAATTTTTGTAGACTATAGAATAATAAAACAGTATAATGACTGAGTGTTGTTGTCCAATACAACATTAAATGTCAATAATTGGCAGTAATTACCTATTACCGTGGTGTTTAAAGGAGAAAAAGGGGAAAACTAAGTTGCTGGTACTAAGAGATAATGTGGCACAACTACAAACCATCTAAATGAACACTTTGATGTCGAAATGTGTATTTTAAATTAATTATTAAAGTATGTAAATGAAAATGTATTTATTCGAGAGAGCACAGACAACTGTAAGAAAACAGATAATAAACAGATAATAGGTAATGGCATAATACATGCCAATTAATTAATCAATAGGTTTAGACCCAATTAGAACAAGTTATTTTTAAGAGTTAACTGGCATAACACCAAAGAGTAACTATTTTTTTGTCAACACAGTGACAATAAGGGATCTTCATGTATATTTATAAATTATCTGATGTTTATCACAATAATATAAAATTAAACAATGTTTATGAAACTAGTTTAATGTCATACTTGACAGAGATGATAGCTGACTTCGGAGGAAATCCCTCTCTCCTTTCAGTTCTTCAATTCTCATCTTTTGCCACTCCAGCTTCTCCTTAAGAAAAGCAACTTCCTGTCTCTCCTTATTAAGAAGCACAGTTGCAGTAGGGGCAAGGCCAGAAGAAGTATCTAAAAAAAACAAAATTTAGACACACATTAACAACAGTAGCAGAATCTCTAATCTAAACTAGGCAAACTAAATGACAGCAGAAACAAAAATATCTACTTTAAATGGTAACAATACAAATGTAAAAAAAGTTCTGACACAAACACCTGTTGTAGAGCAGACACTTCCAGAACAAAATAAATTATTCCTCCATGTTACCACACTGGGGTTATTCATAATGATATAAATGTATATACATTTACTAACTATTAAAAAATATAAAACTTTGTGAGGTTTCACTTTCGTAATAATGAATAGTACCAGAGATAGCTAGGCACTGTAGCAGCCAAATGGTTCATTGTTAGCATTAAAACATTCCTCACCATCACGTTTCTCTGTTGACAGCGTTGGTTTAGTGTTAACGTTATCCAGTCGCTGCTTTTTGTTTTTCTTTGAACGCGTGCTGACCGCAGGTGTCGCAGTGGAACAGGAATCTTTCTCTTCAGGTCCATCCATGGCGCTGCCGTAGCTAGCTAGCGTCAGTCCGTGTCGGTTTGACTGGTGGATCCACCTCAGCTCCGACGCACACCGATGGGAGGGACTTCCGTATTAAGATTCACTGTGATTGGATGTTTGCACTAAGCTCATCTCTGTATGGCTAATTTTCGTTTTATTCCCTTTGGCGCGACGATGGCTAGTTTTCATATGCAACCTAAAAATCCAGCGGGAAACGCTTCATAACTGAGTCCAATGCACTATAAGAGGTGAGCAAATTGTTTTATTTTTTGTATGCAGGGTTGTTCTTTTAATTATAATTCACTTTTAAATATTACTTTAGCTGATGAAGAAAAATCATTTTTAAGAATGAAAATGTTTTGTGTAAATGTAGCATGTTTTGTATTAACTTAACTAAATATTCTTGTTCCTGTTGTGTTAGCCATTTTTACATTTTTCTTTGAAAATTATCAGCATTTACAAGTTCGCTTGCAGGGAAGAGTAGTCATAAATAATGATAATTAACATATTTATTAAAAACCCATTTATCTTTCTTTTTTTGGTCATTCTTAGTAAGTCAACATAATTATAAATTCAGGTTTTTATTTAGCAAGTGTTACTTCCTGTTGAGCTGTGTATTGTAAAAAGAAAAAAAAACACAAATAGATTGCAGAGGCAATACAGTTTGTAACTGTATGTGCTGTGTTTTTTAAGTAAGTAAAATAAACTGGAACTAGAAATGTTTATATCTTGATTTTTTTTTGTGTGTTGAATTTTTTGGTCAAATTAATGGTTTTACATTTTTCCTTGACTTTTCAAAGAATGCTTCAAGAATTATACAAAGACTTGATCTGTTGCTATATCAGTGACCTTTTTTACCTATGACATTCTGAAGATACCAGTATTTCAATGTAATAATATAATTAAATACATCTATAATTTTTCCTACTAGAATGCCTCTTGGGATGAAGTTGTGCACTCATACAGAGGGAAAACAAACTAAAAAGAAGACTCTGAGGCTGATTAAATGGCTGCAAAAGAAACACCTTCTAAAGAAGAAGCTGAGATGCCCTGTTTGCCACCATAAGATGAAAATGATATCTGTGGTGAAGAAAGACCAATTTATGTGGTATGAATGCATGATAATGTAGAACATTTAACATCACATTCTGATATTAAAGGCAGGGTACGTAAGTTGGAATTGTTAAAATAATTTTGACCATCTGACCTTGTTCTATGAGAAAAAGTGTGATCTTTCATATTTTATTTTTCTCCTAAGTCCCTCCCCTGGCTTTACAGCTAAACTAATAATTTCTGCAAGCCTACCACACTGGCTAATAGCACTGCATTTCAGATGTTCTCTCACTTGACTCGGCTTTCCCTGCATGTGCACGTTAGGAGGCGTGGCTTTCGGCTCATTCAGGAAGGTCGGGGATAGAGCAACAGCCCTTCAAATTTTAAAAGCGAGACACAGTGCTAACTTTATCTCAATACTTATTTATTTTTTAATATAATTTTGTGATAATGTTTATAGGTTCATTTATTTACCTCACTTTTTGGTTTGTTCTCAGGTGCTGCAAAAGAGCAAGTCATAGAAAAGTCTCCAGAACAATTAGAACTGGCTCCCTCTTTGAGAAATCAAAATCTTCTCTTTTCAGTTGGATGAAGTTCATCTACAGGTAGCCTGTGTGTATAAATGTCAACAGGAATAGCAGTTAATATTAGGGCCTCAGTGAGTTTTGATTGGTTTTCATTTATGTCGCAGATTTTTACAAGGGCTCAGGCTCAGGCAGATAGATATGATTGATGATGATGTGGCTGGCAGCTCCAAAACATTAAGTGCCATGGCAAAGCGTATTCGACAAGTCTGCATCAGTGCAATGGAAAGACACGGAGTAAATAAAGGGCACTGTCTTGGTGGTCACAAAGAATTTGTGGTTATGGATGAAAGCTGTCTCCGTCATCAGCGAAAGGTTGTAAACTCTCAGACCCCTTTGTTATTATCAGTCCAGATCTGAACATGTCCCCTAAACATATAAGTTTTAAGTTTTTACCATTACATTTAAGAATCAATATAGTAAAACTGTTACAACCAAACAAAAAAAATCTGTTAATAAACATATTATTATATCAATTACTATGATGATTTGAATCACTTGAGTCAGAATTTAACAAAATTAAAGTTTGTAAAAGTAGTCAATTAATCCATAAAGGAAATGAATGACAGAAAACAGCTTTTTTATTCAACATCTTTGTCATGCTGTTAATAAAGTTAAAATACAATTTACTTTAATAACAGCAATACAATTAAAATGTTAAGATGCAAACTGCATTTAAGAATATACTTTGTAAATATTCTGTTTAACCTTAATCTTTTTTTATTTTCAGTATGCACGTGGACGCTTCGGAAATGCTTGGAAAAGAAAGAAATGGGTCTTTGGACTGATGGGAGTGAAAGACAAAAGGCGAAGGCTCGTGTTAAAACTTGTAGAGAAACGAACAAGGCGTCACCTTGTTCCTCTGATCAGACAGCATGTTAAGTCGGGTAGTGCCATTATCAGTGATGAGTGGAGAGCCTACAAGAATGTCTTGACAAACATGGGGTACAAACATTACACAGTAAATCACAGCAGGTGGTTTGTTGATCCTCACTCGGGCAGTCATACACAACATATTGAAAGAGCTTGGATGACAATTAAAGGACATATTCGCAGACTAAGAGGAAATCGTACAGAGATGTTGTTGGAGGAACATCTTAAAGTTCTCGAATGGTCATCTTGGCTTGGTTCAAAACATCCTGATGGACCACTGGGACGCTTATTCAAGGACATATGGAAATCATTCCCAGTTTAACCTGAATCTCTTCAACAGCAGTTTTTTTTAGGGAGGGGGGTATTTGGTGTGTTTGATGAGTTTGGATGTTAAATGTGCTACACTTACAATACATGACCATTTTTGACAGTAGTTAACATAGTTTGTACAAATATTTTAAGCATTTAGTGTAACTCTGAAGTTTAACAAATTTAAACATTTAAGACTAATTTTTGGTATTTATAAATGTTTATTAGTCATTAATAAATAAAGATATGTTTTATACTTTACAATAAGGCTCCAGTTTGTATTTATAAATGTTTATTAATCATTAATAAATAAAAACATGTTTTACACTTTACAATAAGGCTCCAGTTTGTATTTACAAATGTTTATTAATCATTAATAAATAAAAACATGCTTTGCACTTTATAATAAGGCTCCCTTTTGTATTTATAAATGTTTATTAATCATTAATAAATAAAGACATGTTTTACACTTTACAATAAGGCTCCAGTTTGTATTTATAAATGTTTATTAATCATTAATAATCATTAATAAATAAAGACATGTTTTACACTTGATAAGAAGGCTCCAGTTTGTATTTATAAATGTTAATTAATCATTAATAAATAAAGACATGTTTTACACTTTACAATAGCGCTCCCTTTAATCATTGTAAGTATTTATAATGCAGTTATAAGGTACATTAATTATTTGCCCAAAACTGTGTTTACAAATGCTAATAGTGCTTAAAAGATAGGTTCTTAGTTTGAAATGTTTAATATATGAAGTCTAGATAAAGTACATAAGTCAACAGATTTGGTTCACTATTTGGCAAAAAACTAGTAGGTTTAGTCTCTTTCTCACCCTTAATTAATGCATAATAAACATTAATTAGTCATATATAAGGCATTATAGATGGATTAATAATACATTTATAAACCATTTATTAGCCATTTATAAGGGAGCCTTATTGTAAAGTGGTACCAAGCCAAGTTATAAGCCCACAAATGTGTAACTGGACAACTTCTTTAAATTGACACCAGATCCGGTGACCTTTGGGACATGGTTTGACCCCCTTAGGAAAGTGCTATCACCATGAAACATTCAGATCACTTACAACTCAATAGATTCTACCTTCCTGTAACGTTTCAGCCTGATTGGACCTTGTTTTCACACAAATGAACCCAGAATGATGTGAAATTGTGCTTCTTGCAACATTATTCTGGGTGCCATTTACAAACCATAAGTGCTAATGACTCCATTCCTTTTTGTGGTTGTAGGGGCTGTTGATTGGAGTACACTAAAACAAACCTGACCTCTCTAGGACATTCAGAAGCCAAGTTATAAGCCCACAAAGGTGTAACTGGACTACTTCTTTAAAGTGACACCAGGCCCGGTGACCTTTGGGACATGGTTTGACCCCCTATAGGAATGTGCGATCATCATGAAACGTTCAGATCACTTACAACTCAATAGATTCTACCTTCCTGTAACGTTTCAGCCTGATTGGACCTTGTTTTCACACAAATGAACTCAGAATGATGTGAAATTGTGCTTCGTGCAACATAATTCTGGGTGCCATTTAAAAACCATAAGTGCTAATGACTCAATTCCTTTTTGTGGTAATGGGGGCTGTTGATTGGAGTACTCTAAAACAAACCTGACCTCACTGGGATATTCAGAAGCCAAGTTATAAGCCCACAAAGGTGTAACTGGACTACTTCTTTAAAGTGACACCAGGCCCGGTGACCTTTGGGACATGGTTTGACCCCCTATAGGAATGTGCGATCATCATGAAACATTCAGATCACTTACAACTCAATAGATTCTACCTTCCTGTAACGTTTCAGCCTGATTGGACCTTGTTTTCACACAAATGAACCCAGAATGATGTGAAATTGTGCTTCGTGCAACATAATTCTGGGTGCCATTTAAAAACCATAAGTGCTAATGACTCCATTCCTTTTTGTGGTTGTAGGGGATGTTGATTGGAGTAAACTAAAACAAACCTGATCTCTCTAGGACATTCAGAAGCCAAGTTATAAGCCCACAAATGTGTAACTGGACTACTTCTTTAAAGTGACACCAGGCCTGTGACCTTTGGGACATGGTTTGACCCCCTATAGGAATGTGCGATCATCATGAAACGTTCAGATCACTTACAACTCAATAGATTCTACCTTCCTGTAACGTTTCAGCCTGATTGGACCTTGTTTTCACACAAATGAACTCAGAATGATGTGAAATTGTGCTTAGTGCAACATAATTCTGGGTGCCATTTACAAACCATAAGTGCTAATGACTCCATTCCTTTTTGTGGTTGTAGGGGCTGTTGAATGGAGTACACTAAAACAAACCTGATCTCTCTAGGACATTCAGAAGCCAAGTTATAAGCCCACAAATGTGTAAATGGACTACTTCTTTAAAGTGACACCAGGTCCGGTGACCTTTGGAACAGGGTTTGACCTCCTATAGGAATGTGCGATCATCATGAAACGTTCAGATCACTTACAACTCAATAGATTCTACCTTCTTGTAACGTTTCAACCTGATTGGACCTTGTTTTCACACAAATGGACCCAGAATGATGTGAAATTGTGCTTCGTGCAACATAATTCTGGGTGCCATTTACAAACCATAAGTGCTAATGACTCCATTCCTTCTTGTGGTTGTAGGGGCTGTTGATTGGAGTACACTAAAACAAACCTGATCTCTCTAGGACATTCAGAAGCCAAGTTATAAGCCCACAAATGTGTAACTGGACTACTTCTTTAAAGTGACACCAGGCCCGGTGACCTTTGGGACATGGTTTTACCCCCTATAGGAATGTGCAATCATCATGAAACATTCAGATCACTTACAACTCAATAGATTCTACCTTCTTATAACGTTTCAGCCTGATTGGACCTTGTTTTCACACAAATTAACCCAGAATGATGTGAAATTGTGCTTCGTGCAACATAATTCTGGGTGCCATTTAAAAACCATAAGCGCTATTGACTCCATTCCTTTTTGTGGTTGTAGGGGCTGTTGATTGGAGTACACTAAAACAAACCTGATCTCTCTAGGAAATTCAGAAGCCAAGTTATAAGCCCACAAATGTTTAACTGGACTACTTTAAATTGACACCAGATCCAGTGACATTTGGGACATGGTTTGACCCCCTTAGGAAAGTGCTATCATCACTAAACGTTCAGATCAATTACAACTCAATAAATTCTACCTTCCTGTAACGTTTCAGCCTGATTGGACCTTGTTTTCACACAAATGAACCCAGAATGATGTGAAATTTTGCTTCGTGCAACATAATTCTGGGTGCCATTTAAAAACCATAAGTGCTAATGACTCCATTCCTTTTTGGGGTAATGGGGGCTGTTGATTGGAGTACACTAAAACAAACCTGATCTCTCTAGGACATTCAGAAGCCAAGTTATAAGCCCACAAATGTGTAACTGGACTACTTCTTTAAAGTGACACCAGGCCCGGTGACCTTTGGGACATGGTTTGACCCTCTATAGGAATGTGCGATCATCATGAAACGTTCAGATCACTTACAACTCAATAGATTCTACCTTCTTGTAAAGTTTCAGCCTGATTGGACCTTGTTTTCACACAAATGAACCCAGAATGATGTGAAATTGTGCTTCGTGCAACATAATTCTGGGTGCCATTTAAAAACCATAAGTGCTAATGACTCCATTCCTTTTTGTGGTAATGGGGGCTGTTAATTGAAGTACTCTAAAACAAACCTGAACTCTCTAGGATATTCAGAAGCCAAGTTATAAGCCCACAAAGGTGTAACTGGACTACTTCTTTAAATTGACACCAGATCCGGTGACCTTTGGGACATGGTTTGGCCCCCTTAGGAAAGTGCTATCATCATGAAACGTTCAGATCACTTACAACTCAATAGATTCTACCTTCCTGTAACGTTTCTGCCTGATTGGACCTTGTTTTCACACAAATGAACCCAGAATGATGTGAAATTGTGCTTCGTGCAACATAATTCTGGGTGCCATTTAAAAACCATAAGTGCTAATGACTCCATTCCTTTTTGTGGTTGTAGGGGCTGTTGATTGGAGTAAACTAAAACAAACCTGATCTCTCTGGGACATTCAGAAGCCAAGTTATAAGCCCACAAATGTGTAACTGGACTACTACTTTAAATTGACACCAGATACGGTGACGTTTGGGACATGGTTTGACCCCCTTAGGAAAGTGCTATCATCATGAAACGTTCAGATCACTTACAACTCAATTGAATCTACCTTCCTGTAACGTTTCAGCCTGATTGGACCTTGTTTTCACACAAATGAACCCAGAATGATGTGAAATTGTGCTTCGTGCAACATAATTCTGGGTGCCATTTAAAAACCATAAGTGCTAATGACTCCATTCTTTTTTGTGGTTGTAGGGGCTGTTGATTGGAGTACACTAAAACAAACCTGATCTCTCTAGGACATTCAGAAGCCAAGTTATAAGCCCACAAATGTGTAACTGGACTACTTCTTTAAAGTGACACCAGGCCCGGTGACCTTTGGGACATGGTTTGACCCCCTATAGGAATGTGCGATCATCATGAAACGTTCAGATCACTTACAACTCAATAGATTCTACCTTCCTGTAACGTTTCAGCCTGATTGGACCTTGTTTTCACACAAATGAACTCAGAATGTTGTGAAATTGTGCTTCGTGCAACATAATTCTGGGTGCCATTTAAAAACCATAAGTGCTAATGACTCCAGTCCTTTTTGTGGTAATGGGGGCTGTTGATTGGAGTACTCTAAAACAAACCTGACCTCTCTAGGATATTCAGAAGCCAAGTTATAAGCCCACAAAGGTGTAACTGGACTACTTCTTTAAAGTGACACCAGGCCCGGTGACCTTTGGGACATGGTTTGACCCCCTATAGGAATGTGCGATCATCATGAAACGTTCAGATCACTTACAACTCAATAGATTCTACCTTCCTGTAACGTTTCAGCCTGATTGGACCTTGTTTTCACACAAATGAACCCAGAATGATGTGAAATTGTGCTTCGC